CACACATACATGTGCACTACCACACACACATACACAAAGACATACAACCTTGTAAAAAAAAAACATCAACGGCAGTGTAAATGACTATCTGATTGCTTTTGCCAATCAAACTACACAAATTTGTTTCAAAGTGTTAATTACATTTGGTTTGTGTCATGCCCCCATGTGTGTGTTTTTGCTGTGAACACATACGCTGGCATTGCTGTGTGTGTAAGAGAGAGAGAGAGGCAATTTTTTAATCTACGCTTTGACATACTGTGTGACTCCGTGCGGCGTTTTGTTGGACGGTGTGCAGAGCGGTGGAGAGCCTTTATGAATCCAGAAGTGAACTTCCTCTGGCTTTTCATAATGAGCCGGCTATTACTCACAAGCAAAATAAAACCATGGAAAGTACTTTGCTCTCACACAGCTCAAAAACACCACAGGTTAAATACCAGGAGCTCTGCCAGGGCTGCTATGTGTGTGCGTGTGCGTGCGTGTGTGTGTGTGTGTGTGTGTGTGTGTGCAAGACTTAAAAAAAGTAAAGGTACACACAGAAAGAAGGCCCAATTCTAAATGACGATCAGGAATGAATAAAAAATAGTTTATCAATCTATTTATAAAATTGGGGAAAAGCGTGAGTTAGTAACCTTCACAGCTTTTAATTACATCATCCCGTTTTAAAAGGGCAGTCAACAGACAGCATGGGCTCCGTCTTTAACCCGGAGCAAAGCAAGCTACAGTGCAGGACAAACAACGTTGTTATTTCCCCCCCTCGAACGAGCACTTCTCTCACGTGCATTCCTGAACATTTCTAGAATATGACTTTTTTTTGTCGTGTCTTTAATCCATGCAATGTGTAACAGGAAGTGTTCAAGGTGTTAACAAAGTGTCGGCATGAAAATTTTGTCAGTATGTGTTCACACATGTAGCTAACCCAAAACATTTTCAGAATTTTCCAGGACTTTCGTGCATGTGTGAATAGGGCTATTTACATCTGTTCACTTGGTAGCGTGCAGTTCCTGGTGTGTCGACCGTATTGTCGATGCAGTGCTATGTTGAATCAGAAATTGGGACGAGTGGTTAATCATAAAAAAACTGCTCTAAAGACAACGGTGTAGTCTGTTATTGCTATTCAATAGGCTTACTTTTCCCGATGCACTTTCACTCAGCTTGTTGCGCACATATGTGACGTGAAGCAGCACTCCTGATCCTCAGTTGAGTATCAGTTCATTTACTCTTACAGCCAAATTCAGTTCATATTAGTTCAGTGTTTCAAAAGTAGCCTGTGTGTCGAACATGATTGAGTGGATATTGGAAGGTGGGAAGTTATATGAACTCAAGTTCAACCCCAGATCGGGAAGGTTAAAAAAAGAAAATAAAAAGACTAAAACCCACCATAAAGATCGCTATGTGCTTGGTTGAATGAGAATGGAGGAGATGAAACTGTTACACAGCCTACAATGTAGTATCTGTAATGTGATGATAGTAAACAACAACTAGAATTCAATTTACATCAGAGCTAGCAAAACGTCCACGTTTTCCTGTAACAAAAAAATAAAATACTAAAATACTATGATTTTTTTAAGTGAATAAATGTACTGTATAAAGTTCCTCTTCTCTTGCAGGGGGGCTGCAACTAGCTTTCTTTGTATTATGTTAGGATTCCTTCAATCTGCTGAGCTGAGCCAAACTAAAACGATAGCACTCCAAAGAATGATGGGTTAATTTTTATACATCACACTGATCAGAGAGGAAACTCAAGCCTCGGTATTGGTATCATATCAATGCACATCAACACACCTACTCGCACTCTCAGGTCTTCTTCTTCCATTCAACTCACTGCACCACCCGCCCGCCTGTCCACCATGGGGGGTCCAGGGCCTTCGGCCGCTCTGCCCCCCCACCTCTGGAACTCCCTTCCACCACAAATCCGTAATATCGACACTCTCTCCATTTTCAAATCTCATCTCTAAACACATCTTTTTAAACTGGCATATTCAGCCTGATCATTCTCCACCCGTTCTCATAACTCCTTTACATCCTGTACATTTGTGTTTTTTAATGTTAATTTTATCGTTGTGTTGTTACCTTGTTGTTTTTTTTATCTCTGCTCTGTAAGGTGACCTTGAGAGTTGAGGCGCCTTTAAATAAAATGTATTATTATTATTATTATTATTAGTTATGCTGTAGCATAAAGAACATTTTGTTCATATATTCACAAATAAATGAGCAAGCAACAAAGGCAGGTCGTATTCAAGTGATTATCAGTTTGTCTTTTAAACTTTGTTCTCCTCATAAACGTGTTCTCCATTGAGGTATCTGCACTGTTAGGACCTCACATGACATTAGCACACTAAATGTTTCACAGTGTTTCATTTAGACTGTTTCTATGCGGATTTAAGTCTCACAGAAGTAGTGAAATACACTTGCAATATTTGTGTGTGTGTGTTTGTTTCTGTTGCTTGAATGGTGATTCACAACGATTCGGCTTCATCCAAGTGAAACGCCTTTGTATGCA